GTCTGGAAGAATATTCCTCTCCCTCACATGCCATACATTAGGACTAGAGGTGGGGACGAATATAAAAATGGATTGAGTTTTTTTTGTTTTTTGACGAAAATAGCTGGTTCGTTAAATATTCATTGACCAGTATTCATCAAATTTTAAGTCCTGACGAATACAGCTTGATGAATATTTCCCCATTTTATTTGTCCTTTGTAATTTAAAAAAAACACCATTTGCCTACCGGCCACTGATCACCTGATCAGCGGGCCAATAGGCAGCCACTCACCCTACCCCTTCCTCTCTCTATCTTAGCCCGCCCACCCCGCTGACACCCCTTACTGTAATCGTCACCGCCACTGTCGAGGTCTCCATCAGGCCTCCACAGTCACGGCATGTAAACAGGGAAACTTGCTGCCCTTTGCAAAGATGGCAGCTGCGGCTTCATTTAGGGTAGGGAAGCTGCAGCTCCCATCTTTGCAAAGGGCAGCCTGGATTCCCTTAGTGTGCCATGGTGCGGTGGTGGGGGTGACAGTGTGTGTGTGTGTGGGTGGTTTTTTTAAAATAACCCCCCACAAATTGATGAATAGCTTTGTTATTCGTCAGTTCATGGGGGGCAACTTCATGCTTCAGGAGTCGTCAAATGTTGATGACTCATGAAGCGGGTACGACTCGCCAAAATGGTGAGTCCCCATCTCTAATTAGGACTGTTATATAAATCTATGTGTGAAATTCAATTTGCATTTTTTTGTTAAGCATTTGGGACAGCAAGATAAATGAGCTGTCAAGTACAACAGTAATAAAATTGTTCACAGTGTGCCACAAATTGGCTTGTAATTCCAAAAGAAACGTAGATTCTAAATTGGCAAATGGACCAGTAATCCTGGAGAGATTTCACTGTGGCCTTACAAACTTTGTAATTAGTTTTGGACATGGGTAGAGGAAGTTGGTTGATTAAAACCAACTGGTACGAAAAGTCAAACGACGTAGTTGTAAATTACTGGCTGAGGGTACTTTTGTACAATATAAAGCAACGTCTTCTTTTGAAGTACAAGATAAATTTAGAAATATTCTTCCTTCAGAGTTATTCTAACGTTAGGTTTAACCTGGGGATAAACTTGTATCTTTCAACAGGCAGTGTTTGTTTATTTGCATGCTTAAGAGGGAGTCTAGATCAAAGGTTTCTCAAATGCAATCGCTGCATACAATTGCTTGGTGAAGGGAGAAAGTATCTCTCTTCCTAGTTATTAAAAAATGATTTTAAAAAACCAGATACTTGATTTCAGAAGCCCTGCTATCTCTGCAAACTGACACTAACTTTCTTTTGGTCATGTACGTTCTGTTGGGAAGTCCTACTACACTCCAGCTGCAGGAACAGAGAGAGAAAAAATAAGAGAACCAGATGATGACATCTAAGGGAGATAGATGTAATTTACAGAGCACATTATCAATAAGACACAATGAAGCCTCAGAATATTGGAAGTCTGATTTTTGTCAACGCTACTGGGCGCTGAGTTAGAATAACTTTTGAGCCGTAACAGGTCTACTGGGAAGCAAGAGGTGGAAATCAGCATATTCAGGAGAGAAGAACAGGAACGAACCGTCTTTCTCCCTGACCCCAATAGCCCAGTAAGACTGAGCATGATCAACGGCTACAGAATGCTGCGTGTCCATGGGATAGGGACAGAACGTGTATGTGTTCTTTGCTAGTTGCCTTTCCTCTATTTTCTACTCCTCAAAATAGACATATAGAGGGTGTAGCTCTTCTCTTCCTCTCTCAAAGACCATGAAATGTAAATAAATAACTGTAGATAAAAATGTTTTTTTTAATTGCTTGTTTCCTTTAACCAAGAAGCATCCAGATTAATAATTATTCTCCTTCCAAGGGAATGAGTGACGTTAGGTAGATCTCCTCATGCTTTTTTCCAGCACTAAAAACAGAGTAACCCAATTCCAGGTCTCTCCAGCATGATTACCTTTTCTTCTATGACTCTCTAATCATTCTCAAAAGTCATCTGAGCTAGTTGCTGTTGTCGTATTTTGATGGCAGTGAATTCCATACATTAAGCAATGAAGATTTTCTTCCTCCTGGTCAGTAAACTCTAGGTTGGCATGAAAAATGTATTCTTTCTGTAGTCTTCTTTAATTCATTACACAGGAGAAGAGATAGAATGGCATAAATACAGCATTAAAGAAATCTGGAATTTTTCTTCCTCTTCCTCCTACTCCTCTTCCTCCTGCTCTAAATACAGCATTAAAGAAATCTGGAATTTTTCTTCCTCCTCCTCCTCTTCCTCCTGCTCTTCAGTATCGGACCTGGAGCTTGGAAAGTAATTACAGTACTAAAAAGTAGTGATAATCCCACCCATTCCCAGTAGTTCTTTTCCATCACAGTTGCAAATTTAAAGGTACAATACTATTTTCCTTTTAACAGAAGGAATTAAAATATGTAAATTAAAGAAATCTGGAATTTTTCTTCCTCCTCCTCCTCTTCCTCCTGCTCTTCAGTATCGGACCTGGAGCTTGGAAAGTAATTACAGTACTAAAAAGTAGTGATAATCCCACCCATTCCCAGTAGTTCTTTTCCATCACAGTTGCAAATTTAAAGGTACAATACTATTTTCCTTTTAACAGAAGGAATTAAAATATGTAAATTTCATTACTTCTAAAGAAAAAAAAAGTTGAATGCAGCAGTGTGAGGGCCAGCACTTGAGAGTCCTCTACATTTAGTGAGGCCAGATCCTGATAATGTAGAAGAAAGCAATGTGTGGTCCTCCACTGGATCAATCCTAGCCAGCATAACCAACAGGGAGGAATGCTGGGACTCGGTTGCAGTTCAACAACATCTAGATTTTGCTTACCCCTGCTGTTACCTATAAAGTAACTAACAAGTGATCATTGCACTACAACATGATGTTATCCTTTGTTAAGTTACAATCATAATGTAGTTATATCTTTGCTATTGGGAAAAGGATGTAATCACAAGCAACTCTTGTAGTTTTTTTTCCACACTCTCCTTGGAACTGTGCTTAAGCTTGCTGTTTCACTTGACTCTTGTTTATTATTATAAATTTATTACGGTCATATGACCCATACAGAAAAGGTATACAGTAAAATAATGGGAAGGACTATAGGGAGATAGGTACATTGAGATATTAGGTGATTGGAAGAAATTCTGCTCTCTTACACATTGCATCTAGAAAAAACTTTGCTACCTGAGCAGTGATGTAAGGGTTGTGGTTTGAGAAGCAGTATTGTACTAACCAACTAGAAGAGTAGTCTTTGAACTTGTTCAGCAGTGGGTGGATTAGATTATTCCTGATTTCTTCATAAAATGGGCAGTGTAAAAACTTGATTCTTGTTGAAGGAGATGCCAGAGGGTTTCTACCCTCTTGCTTTGGACCGAGCAAGGGAGTATTAATCTCGAAAGGGTAATTTCTTGGCAAATCTTCCCTTTTGATCAACAAAGACGAGGCCATGTGCTGCTTTTTTTCTTGAAAGTGGCTAGGTTTCCTGATAATGATGAGTTGCTCTGTTATCTACACAAGAGCATGTGTGCAGATAAAAGCATCTTGGAGGACAAATGCTGAAATAGGAAATGAGAAAGGAAATTTGACCCAGATGTAATTTCTGATCTGTGAGCCAACTTGGGTGGCCATCTTAGTGTAAGAGGAGGAAGGGGGGTGGGATTCTGATCTAGAAAGTCAATTCTTTTCTTTTTTTAAAATGCAGACCTTTTCCAAAGGGCAGCTCACTCCATGAAATGACAGATAGGGCCTTCTGCAAATCCACAGCTGTATTGGGGGGCACATTCGATATATATAATTGATGTCCCTTATAATTCCCCTACCCCCACCCCAAATAATGAGTTGTGGAGAATGGAGAGCAGAGATGATCTGTCCTTCCAGTGAGCACTTAGGATTGATTTCCTTTAGAATGAATAGGTTTGTTCTCCTTGCAGTCCAGGGGATTCTCAAGAGTCTCCTCCAGCACCACAATTCAAAGGCATGAATTCTTTGGCGGTCTGCTTTCTTTAATTCCCCTACCCCCACCCCAAATAGTGAGTTGTGGAGAATGGAGAGCAGAGACGGGATGGAAATAGCAGTGGGATAGAAATCTGGCAAAAGGTCTCAAACGGTCCCCAAAATCACGTGTTCTGCTTCAAACACATTTGTGTAGAAATAAGCTGTGGGAAGCAGTACATGGCAATGGACCTTGTTAAGGGGATACAACATGACTGTACTACCTCTGTTGAAAAGTAATTCTTCTCTTCCCTTTAACCACTTTAAAGAATACATCAGGTCAAATGTTATGCTCTGTTTCAAGTTTAATTTGGATTTCTGTTTAATCCTTGTGATTAATATTGGCCATGACTTTTTAAGTATTTTCATATTTGTCGTGGTGAGAGGCAGTGTGGTGTAGTGGATAGAATGTCTGACTGGGGCTCAGAAAATCTGAGTTCGAATCCCTGCTCACCTGTGGGAAGTCACAGGTGACTATCTCATATTCTTGAGAAATCCTACTAGGATCACCCTAGTTTGGAGACCAATAGCACACAACAACAACATATATAGCTAGCTTTTGTGTGCCAAAGACATACTCAAGATGATATACAGAAGAACAAATAACAAAAAGTGAAGCAAAGTACATGTAGTCATAAAAGCAGCAAGAAATCCACAGCAGGATTAAACAGCACAGTAAAAATATTCAATAAATCCCATAATCTAGGGGAGCTAGTTAAGAAAATGCTTGCAGGACTTGCAAGGAATGGATAATCCTAATAGCCTGTTTACAGTCCATTTATCCCTTACCTTAGCCATGGTTTAAGATGGAAATTTCACTCCAAAAAGGGAGGGACTGCATGGGGAAAGGAGCTGGTTGTTGATCAGTTAACCATGGTATGACGCAATGTGGATTACTTCGAGCACTGCCCCCCCCAAGATGGCTTACAATAGGCTTTGTGTCTCTGGCTTTTCATGGTATTCTCATACCCATCTTTTTCTCTTCTTGCTCTGCAGGTTCATCAAGGTCACCACTATGACTGATGGGGACTACGACTATCTGATCAAACTCCTGGCCCTCGGAGATTCTGGGGTGGGGAAAACAACATTCTTGTACCGATACACGGATAACAAATTCAACCCAAAGTTCATCACAACAGTAGGAATTGACTTCCGGGAAAAACGTGTGGTGAGGTTTTTTTTTCTCTGTGTATATATTCGGTTGTTGGCTTTTTTAAAAGAAGAAAAATTCTTTCCAGCATTCCATTCAAATAACAAAATAATTCCAAATATTTGAAAACAACCAGTCATCCTGAACATTACGATGTCCATTTCATCATAGGATTTTCCTTCAGGCACTGCTTGTAGCTGTCGTCTGAAGTTTCTGCAGCTTCTCCTTCCTCCTTTCAAACCCCATGTCCATATGTTCTTTCAGTCCGATATGTCTTTCATATCTCTTTATCTCCACTTCTACCAGGGCTGTGATTTTGGAGGGAACCACATATCTTTAAAGGCAACCCAGATATTCTAGCCTATTTTCTGAAACTCAAGCATATTTAAATTATTAATACTGACTTGGAAATGCTCTTGAGGGGAAATCTGAGCTTCAATGGGGCTTTTAAAGATAGAGAAGCTGTGGTTGTCATAGGGAAACCCTACCTAACTTTAAAAAAACCCAAAAAACCTTTTACCTCACTGGGGCCTAATTTAGTTGTCAAAGGCAGTTTTGCAAGAGATCAGAGTTGTTATATTTCTGAGAATGCTATATTGCTATAAGATAACTTTGGGAAATTATTGTCTAAATGCTTACCGCGGAAGTGTGAACATCTGACAGATTTGATCCCACTGTGGTTTTTAGACCCCCACCAGAATTTTTATTTCACCCAGTTTTGTATCTGAAGAAGAAAGGGATGCTAAACCTCTTCTGAGTATATTATGCCTGGAAAACTCTGAGAAGAGCTGTAGTAAGTCAGAATTGACTTGATGGAACATAATTATTATTACGAATTTTGTGCATCAACAAGGAGGATCTGCTTGCAGGATAAAGCTTTGCCAAGTCATTTTAATGCAGAAAATCGGGAAATACTGTAGATCGCCATCCCCATGTCTTAGAATCTTCTTTTTTACGATAATCCAAGGCATGAAGAGAAATAACTCCAAAGCTAAAACCTTTAAAAGCCTGAAGATAAAATATGAAGACAGAGACAAATACAACATGTCATTACAAGGAATTTACTCTTCCCCGGCCCCTCCTTTACATGTGTATTGACAATGTGTTACCTAAATGAAGGTTCTAGGGCTCCAGATCCTTCTCACAGGGAAACAAACTCCTTTCTAAACTGAAATTTTGCAAAGCACAGAGCTTTGCTAAGGATTTCTCCACCCCTGGGCTACACTATGTAGCTTGTAAGGGTTGCATATTTCTTAAGCAACTTTAAACAGATTTTCATGAGCATTGACTAATAAGTGTATATTTGTACATGCTTTTCTTTTAGGCAAATGTACAGTTTTCAAATGTCTACATGACTCTGTGCACATTGTAAGAGGTGCTCCATCCCATTGCCATCTTGGGAGGTGCAAAATGGATATTTCCATGGGGGAATCCAAACTCAATATAGTGGCCAATGTTGTGTGGTGTGTTTTTTTTCAGAAGCATTCACATCCTTTTACAGAGCTCTGTGATTAGTTGTGTTAGCAATCTAGTCCTGATGTCAGAGCCATATGGTTTGTCATTCCAATAATAATTCTTGTTTGTGACTGTGTGGGGTTTTGTTATTTCAAAGTACAAACACACAGGATAAATTGCTATTCTAGGAAGCATCCACATGCTTGCCACTGTTCTGAGTCTTCTGTCTTACTACTAAAGCCCCATTCACATTGAGCTTTTCCCCTCCATGCAAAAAACAAAACAAAAAAATAGTGCAATCAAATGCATGTTTTCTCTAAAGTAACTCCTATAGGGGTCAAATAGGGTTCACTCCCAGATGTATGATTATAGAACTGCAGTCTAAATAGTCAACGAGCAAAATGGCTTTCAAACAGAATGGCATGGGAAACGGCATCCTTTGTTCCTCTGGCAGTCTCGCATGCTGAGAAATGCACATTGCTGCCCATGCATAAACAGACTTCTTTGTGTGTGTGTGTGTATCTAATGTGTGTTTTAAATGATGTTGCATATGCTGTTGTGCATAATCTCTCAGTGTCGAATACTGCTGGTAGAAAATGACTTTAGTCAAAGCAATACATTACAGTCTCACAGTGCATCACACCTTTTCCTCATATTTCCCATGACTTTTAAGAGAAACCTACATGTGCATATTTTCTGGTTATTGGCGGACATAGTGCTGCTCTTTTTCCCCGAAACATAACTTGCTTATTTGCTGGGATCCAAGCAGCCATTCAGCATATACTTTGATCTTCTCTGCTGTGGTCTGCCCATTATTTCATCACTCTATTATTTCATGTATGTTTGATTACGGTAATTTCAAAAGATCTCGGGTGCCATTTACACATTTGTAAGGACAACAACTGTTTGGATCTTGGCTGAGTGATGGGAGACATGACTTTCTTGTTTCATGTCTTGTCCAAGAGGCCTGAGTTTGGTATGTAGGTGCCCGGATCGTAGCTGAAGTCAAATGGAGTGGAAAGAGTACAGTAATTAATAATGCACCCAATACAGTGTGCTATGATAACACTCACTGTTTCCAATTTAGCATCAGCCAAACCCTGAACAGTCCATTCATGCTTACGTGGATATGGGAACCTTTTCTTAGGTTAGTATGAATCATAAATTCCCAGATCATCAAAGGCTGAAGAATAGAAGGAGTTTCTCTAGTTAATCATCCAGAGAGAGATTGTGCTTTAAATGTTATTTTCTCTTCCACATTTTTCTTTGCATTTGTTTAGAAATAAAGGGGGCAGAGAAGGGAAGTGATGCTGTAATGTATCTTCTGGCTGAAGACAACCTCCCCCACCCCCCTTTTTTTGGCTGCTGAGCAACTCAGTTGCTCTCGTCATCATGGTACTCGTCCTTGTGATCATTTCTCTCCAACCTCTATCCCAGTCTTCAAGATCCAAGGTCTCCCCACAAGTGAAATCGGATACAATTTTTTTCTCTTTGTTGAATGTGTGTCTCCTCCCTCCTGTGTCCTACAAGGTGTCTCGATCACCCCAGAAATTCAGAATATTTTCCATAGCAGAATGCCATGCTAAAACTCCTTTAGAGATGCCCAGGGCAGTAAAGCCACCGTGAATGACTCCTTTAGAATAGTTTACACTCCACTCCATAAAGATAGCAAATACACACTGTATGATTCATAGGGATGTTATTTGTTATCTTCCTGTTAAACAGCAAACCTAACAGTCATAAGACTATGTATGATGCCGCCCACATTTTGCATCTTTGGCTACAAAGCATTGATAACTTTTTTGCAGATCTTTAAGCAGCTATTGTTAATGAAGGTGCATGTGTTCATGTCTTCAGTTCCAATGTGATCTTTCTTGTTAGCATGTTGGAAAACATCTGCCTTATTCCCCTTTTCTTCCAAGCTACATGGGATTTCCTTATGCTGTTATCACAGTGTCCCTGAGAGAGTAACTAGAACAGGGTCACCCAGTCAGTTCCGTGTCCTGGTGAGGTCTATCCAACTCTAATACCATATCCACAAAAAAACAAAAACAAAACACTAGCTCTCTTCCTCCCTTTATCCAACTCTAATACCATATCCACAAAAAGAACACTAGCTCTCTTCCTCCCTCCCTTCCTCTGTCTCTTTCATTGTAAAGGTCCAGGCATCTGTTGACAAATGTCCATGATGTTATGGGTAATAAAGCAGCCATATGACCACCGCAGAACCTGTTGTATTCTCAGTTCTACTAGTCAGTTGTGCATTGGAGTCTTAAGTAAGTTTTATCATCTCAATAACCAAATAGTGATCTATTTTGAAATCAACATCTTAAGTTCTCTTTGGCATGTTCTAGGTATACAACAGCCGGGGGTCAAATGGATCTCCTGGGAAAGCCTTCAAGGTTCATCTGCAGCTGTGGGACACAGCTGGGCAGGAAAGGTAATGCACAAGACCTTAAGCTCCGTTTTACAAATACAGGTGGAAGAGCACAGGGGAGGAAATTCCATCAGTTACTTTTAAGACATTTAAAGTTAGGCAAATTGAGAAGACAGAGTTTTTTTCCCTGTGCTTTTGAAGCTTTCTTGTTAAATTAGTTGGAGCAAATGTACCCCAGTTAATAATTTGGATCGGCTAGTTTGGACAAGAGATCTGAACTGTATTTAGGAGGACTGGTTGGGGGGGAACCAATTTGTATGCTCTGTTCCTTCAAAGGAACTGTTGTATACCTTATTTTTCTCAAAAAGATTGGCATGCCCCTGGCAGCTTTCCCATGTCTTTCCCATCATGATGACATCATGAAGCAAACTATTGCCTTCTGGTCCCTATTCTGCCCCTTTATGCCATATAAATCTATGTAACAATAAATAGAGATTGATAGAGCTGTTCTACCATGGGATCATCAGTCAATGGTTGGCTTTTACCATTCAGCTTAGCTGTTTTCCTCTGCTAGGCAAGTAACACTGCTGATTCCAGTGGGAGTTGTGCCATCCCCGTGCAGCTAGGAATAAGGACCTAACATATCTGGATCTAGCAAGTGTTTGGTCAACAGCAGGTGTTTCGTGATCTGCTTTTCCAGCAAACCTGGAAATTGTGTAACAGCAGGTGTTTCGTGATCTGCTTTTCCGCCAAACCTGGAAATTGTGTTGTTGTTTCTAGGGCACATGGTGTGCCACGTTTAAAAAGCATGTTTATTTCTCTTTGTGGAAGAGAAAATGTCTATTCTGTCATCTACGAAATGCTTTGTGAGATAATGTGCTACTGCCACGTTTTAACCACTGCGCCACGAGGCTTTGTGAGATAATGTGCTACTGCCGTGCCTTCTCTCATCCAGCTGTTAGTTGTGTCCATGGTGTTTAATGGAGATTATGATTTCCAATTGGTGAATTACGCAGGACTATCCTTTGTACAGGATTGTATACAATGGCATTGCATATAATCTTCTACAGAGTGACATGAACAAACAGTCCCTGGTCTCAAGTGGCTAAGATGCACGAAGGGTGAGAGAAGAAAGAGAGAGATGCAACAGTTATTTAGCTTACATTGATGTAATATAAATTCAGGTGGTGGGTTTTATTTCTAAGCAGTACATCCAATTAATAAAGCAATGTATTTGTTTGGTTTTTAAAAAAATGTTTTCATCTTTCCAAAACCCCTGGATGGCTGATGGTGTCCGAGAGTCATTCCCACTTTTTCACAGAGGCAGAAAGGCCTCTTCTAATAAGGCTTCAGTTGTAATGTGAAACCACATAATCTTAACAACAGCAAAATAATGCCTTTTCTTCTCTTCAGAACTGTGAATTTATCTCTATACATCTTTTAATCCAAGTAAGATAAGGTTTATTTAATTAGATTATCACTCAATTAATGATGAAAAGAAGCAAATGGGAACTGCCACCTGTCTCTTTGCGGCAGTTCGGTGGAAGTGCAGTGTGTGATATAATTCTCACCTTTCATTTAAATTAAAAAATACCTCACTTTTTAAGTTGTTGCACACAGGATTGTGTTTGCTGTAATAGTGGCTAAAATCTCAGAGGACAGAACATGTTATTTGCATAAGATCTTGAGTTTTGCACCTTGTTGTTGTTCCTTGAACGTCCCTTTGATGCCAGAACCAGTTATTTATTAACTAGTTATTTATTAACTAGTTGTTTATAATTAGTTGAGAACAGTTAATCATAAATCATTACTTGCTTATAATTAGTTTTATTTTACAGTAACTAAGGCATAATCAACTTACATTCCCTGAAATCTTGTTGTGCCACTACACAAAAGGCATAATTTTTTGGAGGCAAATTGCCACAGGTTAAGAAATCTCTGTAGCCATTACGTGTTTGCAACAGGATTTGAGCCATTGTGATTCTCAGCCCAGTGAGTGATAACTTCACTCCTTTAGTGGTGTGACTGCTTTTGAAGTCACTCTTCTATTGTAGAAGTGTGACTTTGCTAACGAAGGGGGAAACATTACATGGCCCAAATGCTGGTGTGTCCTCTGGCACTTGTTGTGATGTTATGCCTGGATGTTTAGATGACATTGAGGTGAACAGAAGGAGAGTCTGCCTTACACCATTGTGAGCTGTAGCATTCAAGACTTCTTTTTTCAGAAAGGAATGAAACATAGCTTTTCTAATTACTTTTGAGAAATGAGGAAAGTAATGAATTTTTAAAATCATGACCATAGTGATAAATAACTGCTGGAGGGCCTTTGAGTTAAAACTAATTACTTTTTATACATAACTTTTCACATCTGAGTGATACTGGAATCAGTTAGACAGACAAATGTGCAGGAAAATTCTTAACCTTGACTCAACGTGCAGAATTTTAATTCCCGCCTCATTTTTTTAATTAACAAACAGCTACATGTCAGCACTTCCGGGAATGCATTATGATCTACGTAGGGTGAGATTACAATGACAAATTATGTGGGAAATGCTGTGGTATACAGTCTGGTTCACATTAATTCTCATTGGCTACATGACATAAAATAAAATGTGAATCACTTTCACCATTTAAATCTGTACCTTTTTCCCCAGCCACTGGGGGTTATACTTTTTTGGAATTTGAATCAGTTAAGACAGTGTGATTCTTTAGGTAGCCACTGGGGGTTATACTTTTTTGGAATTGAAATCATTTGAATCAGTTAAGACAGTGTGATCCTTTAGGCTGATATGGAGGGCTTTGCAACCATTGTATTTAAAACTACTCTAGCAAGCTACTGCAGCTGTGATAGAGGCAGGGCATTGGGGAAAATGGCTCTCACTTGAACCCTTTCCTCCCCACACCTGTTGTCTGGGTCTTCTTCCATCTTCTCTTCTCCTTCTGTTTCTTTCTTTCATTTTAAAGGCTTGCTCTCCTAGTGCTAAGGCAGCTGGCCAATGTCTCCCCCAAAAGAGTGAGGAGTGGGCAAAGAGAGAGGAGAACATTTCAAGGCAGCTGTGCTCTAACCATGCAAATCTGGACAGCCAAGCTACCATAAAACTTCTTCCTCCCTTTTGAATCCCTTGCTCTTTTTTCCTCCTTTGGTCAGCCATCTACCCTAGATCTGGGACAGCAAACTTAAAAGGAGGGAGTGGGGAGGGAATGGAAGGGAAGGGAAAAGGAAAACAGGCGTAGGCACCAGGTGTGGGGATTAGGGGATTCAAATGATTAACAAGCTGCAAACAAGGCTGATTTCCTTCTCTTTCTCTGGTAACTCTTGTGTGTTTGGCTAAAGCAAATTAACATGGGGAAAAAACAACTTTCCAAATGCAATTTCACAGCAGATCCATTTGTTTTTCCTGTTGTGTAGTCAGATCATTTGAAATCTTGTTGATTCCTCTGTTTTTACAGCAACATTTTAATGACAAGAAAAAAAAACTTTTCTTCGTCTTTTGATTTCAAAATTTAAAAAAAATATGGTAGAGAAATGTTTGTCTATTAGTTTTTCTTAGGCTCACTTGGTATGTTTATCTCTTTTTTTCTCTCTCTCTTGGTAGATTCAGAAGTCTAACAACAGCTTTCTTCAGAGATGCCATGGGTTTCTTGTTAATGTTTGATCTCACCAGTCAACAGAGTTTCCTAAATGTCAGAAACTGGATGAGTAAGTGTTAGCCTTGAGTGCTTTTAGATTAATCTGTATTGCATCCATCATCCGTCATCCTTCATTCAGTGGTAGTGCCTATATGAGAGAATCTCTGCTTGGGCTTAAGATAATACATCAGACAAAATAAAACACCATGCACATTCCACATGGATACTTCAAAAGAACTGGTGGGTGTCACACCCTAAATTTACCATATGTCCCACCTTTCTCTTTAACTTGCCACTTAAACTATTAGACCTGGATTTGTCCACAAGGCATGGGATTAATTATGCATGTTGACATTCGTTTCTTTCCAATTTTTTACCTGTTGCTACCACTAACTCTTACTTGCTCTCATGTGTCAATTATTGCTACTCTTACGCAAGCATTACCGACCTTCAGGTAATCAACAAGGTATGCCACTTGGCTTGAACTAAATTGAGTCACTTTTATTGCAGAAGTGTTGTTTTCTTCCTAACCCTAATCTAGTTCTTATCCATCTCCCCATTCTTTCCAATTCAATCCTCTCGGACCCCACCCACTTCCCTCTCTCTCCCCCTCTTCCCCTCCCTTCCTACCCAGGCAATCCAAACCATTCTCATTCCATACTCCACACTCACCCCCTCCTCTCACACACTTGTTATCCTTAGATACTCTAAGCAAGCTACTTAACTATGTTAACATAAACTGACACATTGAACACAACTAGGAATCGACGGGGGTCTCCATGGAAGCTGTGCACTAGGAGGTCTAAACCAGGGCTTGGTTCAAACTTATTTTTGCCACAAGACACCCTCCATGTCCAGGTCCTAGGTTTTCATAGTTATCTGGCTGGCCATTATGGGAAACACATTGCTAAGAATTAGACATGGAAAAGAATTTTTAAAAAGGATCTTGATATTTGGCTAAAATTGCTAATTCATTAAATATTTGTCCATTCATATTTGTGGGTTCCAGAGACCCCCACGAATACATAGGGATGAATATTTTCCCATTTTTATTTGTCTCCATATGAAGGGGGGGGAAGCCATCCTATGGCTTTTCCATTCTGCCTACCTGACCACCAATCAACTGGAGGTCTCCATCAGGCCTCTTCAGCCATGACCTGTAGAAAGGGAAACTTTGCAAAGATGGAAGGGTGGGGTTGGCAGCAGGGGGCGGTGTTTTTTGGAAACTGGCTGCCCTTTGCAAAGATGGAAGGGTGGGGGGTTGGCAGCCGGGGGCGGTGTTTTTTTGTTTTTGTTTTTTGTTTTTTCCAGTAACCCCCATGAATTGACAAATTTGTTATTCGCCAGTTCAGGGCAAATTTGTGCTTCGTGAGTTGTCAACTTTTGACGACTCAAGAAGCAGGAGAACTTGCCAAAATAGTGAGTCGTCCCCATCTCTACTAAGAATCTTTGGTCTGATGGAGTGGGTTGCTCTTCTGAGGTTTTTTTTCTAAGTCTTGGTCACAATCATTTCTGGATATGCAAAATGGCAATAATGATAAGCCTATATTAAGATTTACCTAGACAATACGAAGTCTTGCAAGAACTTAAAATGTACTCAATACCAAAACTGGTACGTCATTTTTGTGTAAAGCAAGGAACAACATTCACATAACTTGGCCTTTATGGAGAAAATGTTTGATGTTATTGTTTAAATTGATGTTCCCTAGGTTATTATTTGTTGATCTATTTGAAGATAACATGGCTGTTGCACTTAATGTTCACTCATCTAAAAATAAGTCATGCAATAGTCTGTATTAGGTGGACAATTATTTTCTATGGATCCTTTTCTATGTGGCATTTCAATAGCCCTTAACAGCATTCTTTATTTTCATTAGGTCAACTACAAGCAAATGCTTATTGTGAGAACCCAGATATAGTATTAATTGGAAACAAAGCTGACCTTTCAGATCAGAGAGAGGTCAATGACAGACAAGCAAAAGATCTTGCAGACAAATATGGGTAAGCCTGGGTTCTTTCAGTTAAAGTCAGCAGAAATGTCTGTTTCTTAGTTTGTTTTCTCTCCCACCTTTCTCTCTGTAGAGGGATTCTTACAAATGATTTAAAATATTAATATTAAAATAGTTAACAGACATGTAAACCACATTATTAGAAATATTTAATGGTATTAGTTGAAATCTAGCAGCAAATCACAATTAGAGTAGGCCCATTGAATCAGTGGGACTTACAGAGGAGATGACTCACCAAATCCCCATAAATTCCCCCAGGAACCATCATGAAACCATTCAGGTCCATCAACCTTCTGAGATAGTCCATCTTGCAGATGCTTTGAGTTCCAGTCAGTCTAAACCCCACCAGGCAATGACCTCTCCATGACAATGGAACTGCAAAGAGTTCCTTCACATCCAGATCACCAACATCCTTCCTAGAAAAGCAACAACAAAAAAACAAACAGGTCCAGTGTATTGCCTGCAACATGAGTGGGACTGGATGCCACCTGGGGCATACCCATGGAAGGCCTGAGCCACTCCTGACAAGGCTAACTCAATATGGCCATTGAAGTCTTCCAGCGCAACAGGCCAAGGAGATTTCAGTGCCAACCAAAAAACCACTTTGGTTACCTCAGGCAGTGAAACCATTATGTAGCAGGATAGGCACTACATCAACAGAATCCCTATTCCGTCTTGGGTACCCACCTTTAGATCCACAAACTTGAATCCAGCACACTGCAGGATGCAGCTGCTGATGAAGGTGATAAAATCACGATAATTCACTGCAGCTCCACCTTCCTGCCCCCTAAGTCTTGCCTCCTGAGTTTGAAGTTGGTTAGGAGGGTTGAAGTAGGCTTGTTTGGGAATGCCTTACACCATGATCTGAATTCCAAAGTTACCAATCTTTGCCAAAGCAAAGTCATTCTGCCTTGATGGAAGGCCATTTAAGATATGGGAGTAAGCTCTTCTTTGAAAAGAGTCAGGTGTATGTGTCATAAATGTGACCCTTTCAAAATGCTTCCCCATCTGACTGTGTTTTTCTGTGTTAGCATCCCATACTTTGAAACAAGTGCAGCTACTGGTCAGAATGTGGACCAGGCGGTGGAGATGCTGTTGGACTTGATAATGAAGCGTATGGAGCAGTGCGTTGAGAAGACTCAAGTCTCTGATACGATGAATGGAGGAAATTCAGGAAAACTGGCATCAGAAAAATCAGAGGAGAAGAAGTGTGCATGTTGACTTGCTACCCTTGAACTGAGGAGAACAAACAAGAAATTGTCAAATCAAAAAATAGCAGACCGACACAACACTTAAATCCAACTCTGGAAGCTCCCTTGGGCCACGTGGAGAGCTGTTGTTTTTCTTAAGCAAGCCTGATTTGTTTCAATGCTGAGGAAGTCATGCTTCTGTGTTTGAACAGGTGCTCCTTTTACAGTGCCATCTTCAGAGAGAACCCAAAGGACCCCGTCTTCTCGATACAGTTAGTCTAGTAAATTGAGGAAATAATTGTTTGCAGGAGTGGATTGTCGAAAATGACAGGAGATAGATTTGTGACCTGAAAGGAGAGGGGGGTCATCCTTATACACCTGCACCATCGTCCCTACTCTTGTTGCCTTCACTTACAGTGTGCTTTATCCATCTGCTAAAAACAACTGAGAAAAATTAGAAGGGTATGTATTGTGGCTTTTCATCGGTGTCTTCATGTTTTTTTTAATACTGAGTAGTACCGATGTAGTGACGTTCAGCTGCCTGAGCTCCTGATGAACTCAGGCAGTAGCATTCTGATTTAGAATCATCAAGGACCTGCGAAGCAACACAGCTCAGTCACTGAGGGGAGTAGAGGGATGTGGGCTAGGGGAGAGAGAGGTCCAAAAATTGTGATACAGTGTTGGAAAGGAACCAGCGCCCACTGTAATGAAGGTTTCACTCTAAAGTTTAGAAAGAAATGAAAAAGCCCTGCCCTCCCTTTGAACACCCAGGTCCAGCTCATAGGCTTCCCAACAATATGTGTCAAGGGATCCATACGTTTTGCTCTGTGACTTTAGCCTTGTGATGTTTTATTGCAGCGCCCTTTCTGTACCGGAGAAAACGAGCTAACAGAAATACCATTCCATGTGAATACGTTAGCTTTTCTAATTAGTGTTTTTTCCTCACAGTCATGATTTTATTTCCATATTTATTTTACAAGTGGGTCACATCATAGATGTGGAACCGCAGGGTGTTGGCAAAGCCAAACCAAAAGCAAAACCTTGATTGAATAAATAATGGATGGATGGCATCAAAACTTGGAAAAGCTTCTAAACAGGAGGGGGGGGAAGGAGGGACAGTAGTCTCTTACTGTAGCAATTGTAAAGGGTATGGGATCATTTGAAGCCAAGTGTTGCAGGACAGCGATGTTTCCGCTGAAATACAATCCAGCAATTTCCCATCAACTGTACACCATTCCTACATGATGCCACTGTGGAGTAAAGGATCAGTTGGTGACGTCATAGAGCGAGCAACGTGGCTTGGTGTCATTGTGCTCAAATAAAGTGGGTCCTCAAGACCATAAACATCCCAACTCATAGAGCGAGCAACGTGGCTTGGTGTCAGTGTCCTCAAATAAAGTGGGTCCTCAAGACCGTAAACATCCCAACAAGGAGTTTAGAGAAAGCTAGATTGAAAAGCCTTCAGCACGATGCTGCTCTTTGCTTTTTCATCATCTTGACAAGTCTGACCCAGGCAGGTCCTCTTTTAAAATATTGCCATTGAAAACTATACAGCCTGTCACTTTGAAAAGTTCATCTTACCAGGACGGAATGTTCTTCACGGATCAATTCAAAGCAAAAGTACTATTTATTATATTCGTTACCAATTAATACCTATTGCCATCTTCAGTTCTTTAAACCCTACATGTGCTGCGTTTCTTACGCAAGATGTGAAAGCATTTATCAGAAAGAGAAATGAGGGGTTGCGTACTCTTGTACAGCTACTCTTCAGTTTAATTCCTGTGCCACGTTCAGAACAGTATAAAGTAAAATGTCTGCTAATTGTCTAAGTCTTGGATACATCGCTTTAGAAATAATAATCTTTTATAAGTTTCATGGTGCAATTCCTGCAAAAGAAGCCTCTTTGTTGCTGTCATTTTCCATCTTCAGTGTTCTTGAAATGATGCACGTTATCACAGAGAACTAGTATTTACGCTAGGAAAGGAGGAGTCGATCGCAAGATGTCTCACAAGAAATTGGTAGCTTGAGTGGGTGTGAACCGTTCTGGCTGATGTTAAAAGAACAGGGTATTCTTGGTTTATTACAGGCATTGTTGCCTTCTTGTATTGCCCTGCATGGTAAAAAAAAAAATTAAATGAAGACTTCTTTTTCTGCCAATCTGTTGTTATTACATGCCATGTGATCTTCTTGTGGCTTTCCTATAGATAAGAGAAAAATAACACAACCTGTCCTCAAACTTGGCATGCACCCTCAATATTCTCAGCTCTGGACGAGTTGTTTCTCATCGTTGCTATCTTGTTCTCAGCCCAAAAGACCACCTGCTGAAGAACTGGGGTGCATGGCCGATCTTAGCTGAGGAGTCTCAGACTATTTACTGTTTAGGGTTCCACTGGACTGATTCTGGGCAAGTTTTCAAGCATCTCTGTTGACCATGTGGTGGCCTTTGGCACTCTTTAAGTTTGATACAGATACGCTGGTATTTCAACAGCAGGCACGTGGATTTGTTTGTTATGCATATTTTGGTAGCTACCTATCCTGACATGGCCCCCAAAACGAACTGCTAGTGCCTCTGCTTCAGTGTGTGTGTGTCTGTCTAGGCCAGCACAATATCACTGGGAGTGCATGTTCTACGTGTGCATGCTTATTTCCCCGTGAATCCAAAACATTCACTTACTCGATCAGCAAGAAGGGGCAGCTGGTGGTGTTTTGGTTTTCTTTATGCATACTTGAGGCTTCACCTGCATTCAGTTGACAAACTTGAGAAAGATATGACTTTGCTTCCGAATGGTGCCTGCCTGCATAGCCCCTAGAAATTAGTACAATACATATTCAACTGCAATTTTGGCCACCAAGTACAAACTGAATTGTGTAATCCATTGCAGATTGCTGGATTTGCTCGAAGGCTGCAGTGATTGCCATACTAGAGTCTATGTAAAGTTTCTAATTATGCCTATTCTTATTCCTTTCTTGCCACATAATTAATTCTTTGTGATACCCAGTGATCCCACCTCCTCTTCACTGTCTCATTAGAGCTGAAAAGGCAGGGGAGCCGGATATGTATGAATGACATCCAATATTTCAGTGTAGGAAAATTTCCTTGCTCTCACATTTTTAACACAGGCTGCTTAATAGAAGAAGGACACAGAATCAAATGTAGAATTTGGCTGTAGTTTGTTGATCAACAACTGTTGGAGAGCAGAAAGGTCTGTATGAATACAAAAAGTGTTACTGTAATTGCTGGCTTCCTTACAATCTGTTTAAAGTTATGGCTGCCGCAGTTGCCCTTGGTAGCTGTGGTGAATTTTTCCAACAAAACATCCCTTTGTTGTGTGCAAGGGTGAGGGTTAGGTGGGTGGATGTACACCACTGTGGTTGCATGTGAATGATAATCCCCATGGAGAACTAAAACTGTGTGTCACTGTATTTTCTGGACAAAGCAAACAGATTACACATTACTGAGTGAGGAAAACACACAGTGCTTCTAAAAATAATAGTGGATCAGTCTCAAGTGAATGTCAAGAAAACACACTTAAAGTTTGTAGAGGTTTTATTTCAGACCTATAATGCGTTCAAGCTTACATGAAGTGTTCCTGCCAATTGTAGTCTCACTTTTCCGTAAGGCAGGAATAGTCACCAGTGACTTTTGAGTGCAAACTGGAAAAACACTGAAAACCTTTTCCTGCACATCAAGCAGTTCCACGTGAGGTCCAGATGTGAGACTTGTTCAAGCTTCTCCCAGGGGCATGAGGCTTACACAATGCTTTCTCCATCACCTCACAGGTATCTTCCTTTATTTCCTATCTGCATTTCTAAATGGACAATTCCTACACATACTGTAAACATAGTGGCTGATAGACAGTTGCTTAGCAAAAGAAAATTCCTCACTTTCCGCTTTTCTTAACCAGCAAATAAAACATCCCACCACGATGCTCAGCCGCATGCGCCCATGCGCCAAGCCAGCGTGCATGTTCCCTGAGATTTGCAATGTGGATTCTTCACTGGCTGGCTAAGCATAAACTGAAAGTTACAAATTTTCTCACACCAACCAACAGGATTTCAGCCGCTCTGTATCATGCTTTATGTTACAGCTGTTATAGAAGTGAAGTGAGAAAAGTCACAGTTATATGTTACAATCAGGAGGTAAGCGGACCTGTGGCTAATAGTGTACCAAGAAATGTTTGGGCAAATAAGGTGGATTCTCCTTAAGGAACACTCTCATTTTGACTGTGCTATAACTGTGATCTGCCTTCCTGTGTACAGGAGAAAGCTGGGATGTGGGGATTAGGTAGCATCAAGCAGTAGATAACATTCTTCCTTCTTAAAAAAACAACAACCTTCTCTCATCTTGTTCATGCAGCAGCCTCTATGTTCTCTACTTAATTTCACTCCAATGATTCAAACAAATTCAATACAAAACACTTTTTTCCTTTAATTGCCCATTTTCCCTGCACAATAGGGCTGTTAGTGTACATATCTATATAATTGAAGGTACTTAATGTATCTTGGTTGGATATATTTATTGAAATGAATCCTTTTCAGGTTTTTGTATTCTTTGTCTTTGATTTATCACTTTGAATCTTCTAGTTGATTGAGTGCTTTGCTTCCTTTCGTGCTCTACTCTCCCTCTGTTTAGACTCCTCTGAAAGCATGTTTTCTGTTGGTCTCTGCAGCAGGTCTGTAAATGTCAAAAGATTTACATTCTTGAATGTGGAAGTTTTTATTATATGTCTCTTGATAGACGTGTGATGCCAGCATAATAACGTCAGTCATTACTTTGTTGTACCAAAGTACCTGTGGCTTTAAATTATACCTATCTATACATGCACACATGCTGTCCGAATTTACTGGTGTCTGGGTTTGTATAATATGGTTAAGAAATGTAATCTTGTGATTTCATTTCTGCACTGTTTTGAAAAATTAAAAAAGAATACCTTTTTAATCAGTAGTGTGTTTTGGTTTTTTGAGAGCAGAAATTAGTGTGTGTGTGGGAGAGGCACTGTATAAATCCACAAAATCCTATAATTTATCTATACCAGAGGAAGTCACCATATAAATCACATCACTGAATTGCTTCTAGTTAAGAAGACAATATATAGTATATTACAGAAGTGAGTACAGTACACCTCCTCACATTTCATAAATGTGAGAGGGTGTACATTTTGCCAATGTTTCTTTCCTTAGCAAAGTGGTAGAGAGGGTGGTGGCTGACCAGCTCCAGGCCCTTTTGTATGAAACCAATGCCCTGGATCCATTCCAGTCGGGCTTCAGGCCAAGCCACAGTACAGAAACGGCACTGGTCGTCCTTTCTGATGACCTGTTCAGGGAGGCTGACAAGGGTAAAACGTCTCTGTTCGTCCTCCTCGATATCTCAGCCACCTTCAATACCATTGACCACGGTATCCTCCTGGGGAGGCTCTCTGAGTTGGGAATCGGTGGTCTGGTGCTTGCCTAGCTCCGATCCTTCTTGGGGAGAATACAGAGAATACAGCTTGGGGAGAGTGTCATCAGGGAGTGTGGGGCTTTGTGTTACCAATATGCTGATGACACCCAGCTCTACATCTCCTTTTCTCTAACAACAGTGGATGCCGTTTCGTCCCTTCAGAGGAGGCCGTATTGCAAAGGATGCGGGTAAATGGTCTGAAGCTGAACCCGGATAAGACGGAGGTCCTGAGGGTGGGTGGCCCCACCATTGGTGGCTTGAGAAACTCCCTCTCTTTGGGGGGGGGGGACTCTCACCACGAAGTCTGAGGTTCACAACTTGGGAGTCCATCTGGATCCATGGAAATCCAGGTAGCGTCAGTGGTCCGCACCACCTATTTCCATCCGCAGCAGATTGCCCAGCTTCATTCCTATCTTGATGTTGGGGTGCTCACCACTCTG